ATTGGCGATGAATAATTATAATTGTTAATTACTCCACTGAAACGGAACATTTTTGAAAAATTTTTCTCATTGCGCCGTGAAAATATGAGAAGAACCTCTATTCCAAATTTCAAGTTTGTTACGTAGCGTAGTAAGTAGTTTTTGAGTTACAGCGATCAGTCATCAGTGACTAAGTGGTATTTGGATTTTATATGCATAGATTATTTGCAGAACTTGACGTGGACGAGACCGCCGCTAGTGATGGGCTTGCAACGTGCGTGACACGACCAGGTTTATGTTGATTTTATTCGATTTGTGATTATTATTTTTGACTTTCTGTGGAAAGAATGTGATGAAGAAACGTGCCAGGCAAATAACTAAAGTGTAAACTATTATTATCTTTGTAGTTATAATTTAGTATTTACCACCATCAGTAAGTTGACATTAATATTTAATAACAATTTACAATGCTAAAAATAAACAATAATTCGATATCAAAAACTCGTAAATCCCGTTGGTCAGTCAGTAGTACAGTAGTACAGTGATGCAGTATTTCAGTCGTTCCTCAGTCCTCGGAAAACCCGAAACCGGTTGTCGGAACACATTCACGATTCACTCGTAATCCGTTTTAGGCAATACGTAGACCACTCACTACTCAGTGAACGGTAGTCACTTAAACGCTTATAATATTATTATTTTTAATCATTTTAAAATACAGTATCTTATAGGAAGGGTGTAGATCGCCCATAATTCTGCTTCGGTGTGTATTGTTCAACGGTATCTATGATATTATATTGTTATATTTTATAATTACGTGTTTTTTTTTAAATTTTAACAATATATTAACATTGTTGGTGTTGTTTGATTTATAATTTGGTTCCTCATTGAATAGCAAACCTTTCGACAGCCCCGCGACGCTTCTAAGCAATGGCGAAGACTGCGCGATCTTTCGGGATGACACCGACCCTTTCGTCAGACTTCACCACCCACGCCATGGCCCTTTTGCAACGGCGACACAAGGTCTCGCCGGACTGTCAATGCGCCCATCCCCTGCTCGACAGCGGCCTGAAGTTCAAAGAAATCCGGCGGATCAAACGCGAAGTCTACGATACATTTCCCGACGTGAGTTCATCATATTATTGTCATTTTTTCGTTAGCGTTATTAAACGCATCATAATTACATTATGCCCATGCGGCCATGCCGAGTGCATAATAGTCAGTGTCGGATTTAGACAATAATATATTATACCTATCCATCGTGAGTGGCGTGTGACTGACTATACTAGTGTGAGTGAGTTCCCCGATCGCTTTATTTAAGGCTTTATGTAATTTAAGATGAATTACGGCTGAGGTTCGTACCGTATGACCGTATACATAATTTTAGCCATTCGGAACTTTTCGACGACCAAACGACCGTTAAATCCACCACTGATAATAGTGTATGAGATGATACATAGTCTTCACAGTGATTATAAGTTAATATAGCGCTAGACGTTAGTATGTTCCCAAAAGAAATAAATATCGTTATTCTTTAATCGTGTATGTAAGTATGTAACCATGACTTTTAGCCCATTCTCCATGCCTTGTTTTTATGGAAGATAAAGCGTCTGACATTGACGATAATAAATAATAAAAATATGGTGTTTTACTGTCCTTATCTGTTGATGGCATGACGGGTTATAATATGTCCCTCCGTGCCGCTAGTAGTGAAGACTCGTTTATTCACGTAGAAAATACAAATAAACTTGTCAGCCGAACCAACAACTTCTCGTTCGGCGATTATGTTATTCAATTTTATTTTTTCTAAAATCAACGTGTCCTCTTATTGAGACCATGACGATGTTTCGGACGGAGGACGTGGATCAGAACCGCTCAATCTAGAAGCGAGCTATGTGTAGGTATTTTAAAATTGTTAATTTTTTGTACTTTTTATAGTTAATCTACTCATACCTTTCTTTAAAAATTAAAAAAAAAATGAGAAGAAGAAGCATAATATGAGATGTCTTGGACAATAATCTTATCTTTCAATTTTTAAGAGGTCAATTCACGAATTTTTAATCCAACGAATCTAAATGTGATCCGCTGATCGAAAATTTTGCTATGTTACGCACTTGGGTAAAGTGGAAACAACCCGTCATGCGGTTGCCACGGCCTTTTTATAGATTGTTTGGAAATATTTCTCCATAGACACACACGCACTTCAACCCTTTTAATAACATTCATTTATTAGCTTGATTATTATTTATTCTCATCTAAATAAATATTTACGAATGATTGCATGAATAGCTTTGTATGATTTTAAATGATTACCTACTCACTATATTTATTTTATTCTGCCATTTTGCAGAACCCCAAAGCAGCCCTATACATTTTCAGCAGTTTTGGTATATTCATTGTCAAAAGTATTTAAACTTTTAAAACCAGCTTTTCCGGCTCATTGGTGGTTATACGCCCGCCAACAATTCAAATTAATTAACTATTGTCTACTTAAGAATGCAATAGTCATTGTAATAATTTGTTTTAATACATCGGTCAAAGAAGTATTCTTTATTAAATATCAGGCTCACTGCTTTAATGTTTTTGAATGTAGTAATTAAAAATTTTATTTGAAATGAGATTAATTTATGCCCAGTGTGTATAACTGTTTAGGTGGTGAGGGGGTCAACCCCCCACCGCCCACTTTGGGGTAAAACATTTTAACACTCCCAAGTTTAAGACTTAACGTATGCACCAATAATCATTGGTGTGATCGGGAACTGAATTCTTATCATTGTAATATTGTATGACATTTGCGTTCAACATTTCAGTGCTCGAATGGATAGAGAAGGTCAACGCCCCGCAGATGTATGGCATGTATTTATTGCGAAAAGAGGAAATGCAGTTGGACCAAGGTGGGGTGATCGGTGTAGATGAATGTTAGTTATACCACGTGACAACTGAGTCCAGGGCCCTGGAGTCGCTGAAGAGCGGACTCGACTGGCGTCGCACTCGGCGTTCCAGATACGGATGCGGTGTGTCATTTAGTGACGATGCCGAGTACGCTGACAAATATGCCGACGATTCCACAGGTGAAGGTAATTATCAACAGATACTTACGATTTACTATGTCTAGTGCCCACCCCCGTCCATCCCCTACCATAGTACCACACAGAGATGTTTCAGAGCGCCATCTAAATACTATTCGTTATCAAATAGTTCAGATGTGTACAGAATTTGATCTGACAACGGTGACTGCTGAATGGAAATGAATTTATTTGCCTAACTGATATAATATTATGTTATTTTGATTTCCGCCCCTCTGTCGATTTTTTTTGTCATCACCGTCTACGACCTTTTAGTTTTCCAGTGAAGCGTTGGAAGTATTGGTTTTGCCATGATGTATTGCTGATGTGACCTTTAAGGGTTGAAAAATGCCTTAACTTTGAGTGTGGTTCCTGGTAGCAAATTTGATCTGGTTGGAACTTTGAGGGTCAAAATTTAAAAATTATCAAACAATCAGAAAAAGTACTTTTAATTTGTATTTGTTTTTAATCATTTATGAATTATAATAGATTATACTATTAAAGAATTCTAAAAGTGTCATATTCCTTTTATTATACAGACTTTTTCAAATGGTTGGTTGATTCTTTATTTCTGTAAAATGTAAACTAATATTATGTGTATTTAATGTGTCAGACATTTTTGATTTTTCTCATAGTATTTATTATTTAATATAATGTTATGTAAATTTAATGACCCCCCCCCCCCTCTAATAAATAATTTTAATTTTTGGTCCAGTCTTGATCTCAGTTGCATAGCTCTACCTACAACAATGTGATTATTACATTTTTTTGTTCTTGTTACTGGTTGCAGATAAGCGAGTTATTATGATATGCTCCGTGCTCATGTCTAAAATGCAAGAGGTTAACCCCAAATGGAATGAGGGATATAAATTGATTGTACCACCTGGCACAGCTGACACGACAGTGAGCCGTGATGGCTACGTCTACGTTAAGTACAACGACTTTGACTTCTATCCCCTGCATTTGGTATACTACTATAATGATTATGATGATGATGGTGGTGATGGTGCTTATAATTATTATTATTATTATGATTATTGACCACATCAGAACAACTTTGTCTTTAAATTGTTCAACTTTAAATATTGATATTATCTAATGTACATAGATTATAGGTGGAATTTTGATTAAACACTGTATTAGGTGAAAGCCAAGAGTTACTTTTTTTTGTTATTGTCATTACATTTAATTTTTTTTTCACTTAATATGATTTTTGCAAATAAATGGACGAGAGAATCCCTTATAAATAATTCATGTTTTTCTTTGAAATCCCTTATAAAATGTTGACTATGTTTCTAATAGACAGCAACCAAAAGAAAAAAATGTTCATCTTTTTAGTATCAAAGTTACCAGTTTGATGACATTTTTTATAAGATTTTACAAATTTTTACTCGAACTATATAGGGACACTCTTAGACTCCTGTCCTGTATCAAATATCCTAGTTAATAAATAGAATTCACACTATAAAAGGAATAAATTCTTTACATACCTCACAATTTAAATTAGTGCTAAATAGAAACAATTAAATAATAACTTAAAATTAGGGTGTATAGAAATTAATTGCTAACGACAAACAGTCAGTATATAGTTTTTAAAGTCGAAACTTTTCACATTTATTGTCAAACATAACATTATTTAAATAAAAATATCATATCACATTTAAATTAAATTGTAATAAATCTATGTAAAAAAAAAATCAATAAATAATATTTTGAAACTTTGAATACTGTCATGTAAAAAGTAAGACTAATTAATAGTTGTATAATTATGTAATTAACAATAAAATAAATATAATATAACAGTTATTGGTATAAAAGAGATTCATGTTTAATATTTTATTTTGGATATGTATGTATGATTAACACATGTGATGGATTATATTAAACTTACTATATTAAGTTAAAATAATTATGTTACACTAATGACAAAACTTTAGTCATATAATTACTCACCCAATGAGTTAAATTGAATACTGACTAACAGGTAAAACAAATCAACTAAGTTTCTAGACATTAGTTATAGGTCATGGATACAATGTTCTAAAATTCAAAACTAGTTTTAAACTTTGGTAAATACTGAATATAAAAATTTCTACTTCAAATAACTGTTTGGTACTAATGTATTTAAATATTAATAAAAATAATCGTTACTGATCCATAATAAATTAATTTAATACTAGCTGTAATACTTGGTGTGGCCCGGTGATAAATTAAACTAATATAGGCAATCCACATCAATTATATAATTAGTTTCATAATTAAAAAAATGATGTATTAAATACAATTACTTAAAATTTATTGTGATAGCCGACAATTATTTCAACCAAAATGTACTAATTTTTTGTGAATCATATCGACGGACCTGATAAAGCGATGAGACTTCTTTAAACTGATTTGAATTTGTTTTAATGTCTACTTGAGATCGATCAGGCCACTTTTTAAAAATTGTGTTCCTATACTTTAATACATTTTGTTTGAATGTTTAAAACTAACATAGTGTTGTATGTTAACAAGTGATATTGCAGATAAAAATGACAAATTCTTATTATCGATTAATATCTTGCATGGCGTATACACCAAATTATTATTGTGATAAATAAATTGTACAAATCTGTACTTAGAGAAATATTTTTAAAAGTTATGATATTATATGTCATTAGTGTAACAATTGAATAAATATATAATATAATTATTTCTTAATATAAATGAGCAATAACAACAATATATATATCAAAACTTTTAGACTTAAGCGTTTTGGGTACATTTTGCTTGGTTGTAAACGAGTAAGGAGTTAAATGATTGTTTTCCAATAGACATACGAATAGCTTTAGTTGATTTCAATAAAGCGTTTGATGTAAAACTTTCTGGTAACTTTGTTAAGTATTGAGCGCACGTTATAGAATCCATTTGCATTAATTGAGACTCATTACTGCGTAAAATACCTAAATATATTTTTAACAATTAACAAAATAAATATATATATCTTTTATTCTCTAGATTAAGATATTTTTTTTCTCCAAATAAATTTGTTTATCAATTCAATTTGTCTTGAATATTATATTTGATGCAATGGGTAAAAATATTTTTTAAAAAATATTGTTTTGAATTATTATGTAAGCTTAACTAGTGCTTACCTAGTGCAGCTCGAAATAAGAATTGATCATTATCTCTTAAAAAATTGTCCCAAATAATAGATGCCAATTCTAAGTTCATTGATTTTGCAAAAACTGAATATATCCAATCAACCAGGTACATTTCAGAAGTTAGACCAATGAGATTAAAATGTGTATTGAGTCTATTTAAATTATGTTTAAGTAGATCATTATATGTAGAAAAATAAGAAGTCATCTATAACAATAATAATCACATTAAGGAACAGATTTAAAATAGGTATGGTTTATTATAATCATACTAACCAAACGTTGGTTTACGGTGTAAAATGCATTCAAGCATGGAGATTCCATTAAATTGACAAGGCAAATAAATGTTTCAAGTTCTTCCATATTTAAAAGTAAAATGGCAGCTATAAAACACATTCCCTGAATATAACCAATATCAGGCCGGAGACAAACATAGGCACTAAGAATCCTTTTCAATACGTCAAAATATGGTCCACCCTAAACAAAAAAAAATGGTAAAAAAATATTAGCTATATGAGTCAAGATGTGGATCAAAATGTTAAAAATTTGCTAGAAGTACTACAAACACTGGTATTAGTACTTCTGTATTGAAGAACATTGACGGTAGTTGAAGCTTTGAATTACTTTGGTCAAAACAATATAACTAGTAACTAACAATAAAAATTAAAGCTTAAACAATTTTTTTTTTTAGCAAAATGTTCAGCATATAGTATAATTTTTTAAAATTATAATGCCAGGGAAGTAATCTTCAACAAAAATTTGGTATTAAACATTCAATAGAATTATGTGTTGAATTAAAATAATATTAATCGTTTGCATACATAGTAGTATAGTACATACATTGCTATTTTATGGGAATTTTAGTTGTCATAATTTATTTTGTAAATTGTCATTCAGAAAAATAAGTCAAACATGAAGCCATACCTATGGCTATGTTTACAATGTCTGCACAATACTCTTATTGTGAATTATGAACAACAATTACACAATGTATGAATATTTTATGTATTTACTGTTGTTCAAAAGAATCTTAGCAAGATTAGTGTGCATTGTACAGTCAAAGAGATTATACGACTACCGGACTACATATCTAAATATTTATAATTTTGAAATGGTTTCAGGTACTTTTGCTTATCTGAGAATTGTATGCTATATTTGTAAAACATTATTTATCAAAATTAAAATGACTAAATAAATAGTTATTTACTTTTTGGAAAATCCCCAAGTGAGGAAATGTACGCGTTATATCTAAATGTATGTATTCCAGGCAATCCATAGTAGCTTCTGAGTCTTTAAATTTGTTAAATGAGTTTGAAACACAACTTTTATATAATTCTTCATTGATTAGCAAGTCATTGCCGATAGCTAAACACCAAACTTTACCTCGTACACTCGAGGGCAAACCATTCCACCAAAGATCACGACATCTCTTTGTCCGACACCTATTAAAAATAAATGGGTAAATTTTCTTGTACAATAAAAGTACATGCTATTTTATCATGCTCTGGATAGCATTTTATAATGGATCTATAGTTCTATAATAGATAGTCTCCCTCCTCTTTTTAATCATGTCATGTAATTTAAAATCATTGTTTTTGTATTTATCCCATTTGGTTATTTTACACAAGCTACAGATTTTTAATTAATATCCTATTTAAAAAAAAAAAATTATATACAATATGTATATTACATTTTATGCCAATTTGGAATTATTTCTTGAGTCCATATTTTTGTAACATTTGCTAATCGTTCTTCGTTTATCAATTTTTGCTTTATATGTTCTTTATGTTTTTTTGCTTTCTCAGACTCTGTGGAATTCAAATATGTTGTGTTACTTTTAAATGTTAACTACCTTTTTTTACAGTTTGAAATCGACAATACCGCAGGAACTGTTTTTGCATTGCTTTCGCAAAATGTTAACTACCTATAACATAATAATATGCTTAAAATTACCTTTTTTCTTTGCATTTTGTAAAATTTCCTCATATAGTCTCTCGTGTTCTAATTGCTCCTTAGGTAGTTTGGCGGGGATTTGAGTTGGTCTGCAATTTAAAATTAGAGCAGTACTACCAGCTATTTTATCTTCATTGTCGATTGTTCTGGTACTTATACGATCAAAAGATTTAACTCCGATATAGTTATTCTAAAACAAAATAAATGAGAATTACCTAAATATATAATCTATGACCATTGTTTTATTTTACTTTTTGGATAGATTTTCCAATTGTCACTAAACAGCATTCAGATGTTTTCCTAAACCAAATAATACAAATAATATGAATTTATTATATTAATTTTAAATACAATTATACTGATTGACAATTGTTTTAATACATCACTACTAGCTTAAGTTATACATTTATAGGTAAGTTACCCATGATTTTGGCTAGTGGAATCAATTGATGTATCTATGTCAATTAGACATTCATTGGATTTTGTGATGCTGCCACTGCATGATGAAAACAAAACTGTTTCTGATTCCAACTCGTCGGGACCAGAGCCAAATATGGATGAACATGCTGTCCTAGAACAACTACTGTCATCTGAATCGATAGTATAGCTGACATCTTCTGCAATAGTTTCGCGGTCACTGATCGACAGATTATCAAAGTAATAGGATAAACATCCATTGTCGAATGGACTAAGCGGTCCGGAATCGTTCATCAATGATGAGTAATAATCGTTTAAGTGATAGTACTACAATCAATGAACCAGCGGACATTCTGTTTTCTTCAATCCCAGCATGTTAAAATCACTATTGAAAATGTGTAACACAGATTAGTTTCTAAAACCGTCGTCACTCACGAACCACAAACATTGTGAAATCAAATACAATACGCATTACTTAACAATTTTTGTACATCATCAGCATTTGACTGTTGTTTTATCACTTGTTGATGGTCAAAAACTTGAAAAATATCTCACGTTATCACATATCACTGCATTTTGTCATAGTCAAATTACTTTCTAAAATGTTGATAATGGTTACACACTCTGTGCCTCCGTTGTACGAACAAAGAGTAAATACTAAATAATACAGTTAGAGAATGAAATACTTTATTTTTATTAGACGTACGCCTGTCAAAGATCTTGTACACTGACAGTGGACCATTACAGTGGTATTATATTCGCAACGTTTTGCTAGATCAAGGTTGCGAACTTGCTTAATATTTACAGTTTGCTTTGTCTGTGACTTTGAGAGACAATATTTAACTGACCTATATTCTGCGATCTACCCATTTACCTCGGATATACTATTAAAGTAATAGTTCCATGTCTATAGTGGCAATCTTATGATCAGATAACCTGTTCATGTTGGGCGGAATTGATTGTAATTTAGTTTAGGTACCTAACAAGGAAGTTTTGCACACGGCCAGTGCAACTTACTGCAGTACAATAAGTAATAACTAATAAGTATACAACCCACCCAAAATTGCATGACTCACGATTGACAAATATTATATCAGGGCTGTGAATTTAACACATTAAAGATATTGTTGCACATGCCAAAACGTAGGTAGGTACACTTAAAAATTCTAAACATTAAAAAATACGTACCTATGCTTAATAATTATTATTTTTTAACAATATTAGAAAATATTAATTTTTTTTTAATTTTAATTTTTATAAGAAATATACAATCTACGCCCAAGGGAATAATAATAATATGTGCTACAAGCAATTATTACATGAAAAGAGTGAGGGAAGTAGGTAACCATCCAGTGATCGCACTTCCTATTGATTATTTAGAAAATATTTTAAATAAAGCTTTGTCAAGATGACGTTTCTATTTTTTCTGTTTTATATTGCAGTTGTAAACATAAACTATTGGTAGGTAATTTAGTAATTATATATTATTTATTGCTTAGATAATATCTCAATTCATTGACAAACATTGAAGTAATTGACAACAATGACCAAAAAATAAATTGTCATCGGAAATGAAGTAACTGAAATAATTTTTACCGCTGACTTTCACAATATAAAAATTCTTCGGAGGTTAATCACGATCGGCATCAACAGATAATTGGAAAACAGTAAGACACTATAAGTTATATTTTATTTTAATTTCACTTAAGAGGTTCGCTCTACCTCCACATCGTTATTATACCCATCGAAATTTGAAGTATAATATAATAATAATCAATACAACAAATAAGTACAGTGTACACGACTGTACATTAAAAAAATGTGATGGTACTGAGTGCAGATTAAAAGTACAATATAGAGGCTCGAGCAAGAATCCATCCCTGCTATAGTTGCTACCCTCGTGCTTCGACAGTTTGACGAACGTTTAGGGGAAGATGTCATGGTAGACCGAACTTTTGTTTCTTAAAAGAACTAAGAACTAATTAGAACGAAAACACGCGAATGCATTGATTCAGAGCCTTTGCTTTAAATGTCGTGACTTACAGTTGTGTATGTTTATAAGTTTATAATTATTATATAATCTTACTTTTAAATATAATTATTATAAGATTTACAAACATATCGAAATCATTAGCTCAATACGATTCAATATTGCAGATATACGACATAAGTTATTTTGGTATAGAAAACAGATCATAAACATTTTAAAAATGAATATAGATTGTCATACGTCATACAGACATTTATTTATTTATTTTTTTTTTTATGTCGTTGCCATATTATCTACAGACCCCAAACACCCTTGTCCTTTTTGGGATATGTTTACGAATAATAATTACAGTACATATTATTATAATGAGTTATGTATGAGCTTTTTTCAATTAAAATTTAAATCTGAAAGTAAATTATGAATTACAGCTTTTTTTAAATGTTGGCGGGTTTTTTTTAAAAAATAATATTAGTTTCATACGACATGATGTTGGTAAAGTAATTTTCACCGGTTTGCAGCTACTGCTGATTATTTCCATTGTCATCCTGTAACCGTATCACTCTGTTATCACGTGTGGGTACTAGATTTAGTGGTCGGTTTATCACTTCGTTTAATGTCATTTTACTCACTTCTTTCTCTTTGCAAGATTTTAACACAGATTTAAGCACATTTTTGCTTAAAAAACACTCTAAATTTAATAAAAAAAAACACATATTTACATAAATTACACAATGTTGATCAAAGTCAAGACTCTAACAGGAAAAGAGGTGAGTAGTACACTTAATATATACCCATTGGTATATTATTGTTTATACTTTGTTATAATATGTTTTTGATTTGTCGTTGTAGATTGAAATCGATATAGAACCCACAGATAGAGTGGAAAGAATTAAAGAAAGAGTTGAAGAAAAAGAGGGCATTCCACCTCAGCAACAGAGATTGATTTTTTCTGGGAAACAAATGTAAGACCGATTTTCACATAGTTTATTTTAGCTGTAACTAATAATTTCTGCTTTTAGGAATGATGAAAAGACTGCTCAGGATTACAAAGTTCAAGGAGGATCTGTATTACATTTGGTATTAGCATTAAGAGGAGGTATCTTCCTATCTGTTTGATAATGTGTAAAAATGATTATTACTCTGATTTCAAACTTTTTTTTTCAACTTATATTTATTTCCATTTATATGTAACTAAATCCAACAACAATAAATAAATGAAATATTTACTATAACCAATTAGCAAAAATGTGTGTATTAAATCTGATTTAGATCATCTGACGTCAAAGACTGATGGCTACGTTAAAAAAAAAAACATTTCCTTATCAATATAATGTGTTTGTTTAAACTAGATACTGTAAACGAGCCCATACTAATACAGAGCTTTAACTTCATGTTTTTTCATAAATTGGGAAGTGCATAGTTCAATACAATTTGATACTCAAAATATAATATTATTATATAGCAATTTTGTTTCATTAGACTAATTGAAATGTATGCCTCCATTGTTACTTTGAATCAAACAGATTAAAATTTGGTATTTTTTTTACCTCATCTAAAATCCATGAATGTAATTAAAAATGAGAATTTCATTAACTTTTACCGACATTTAATTTATCAAGGTTTTTTTTAGCATTCAAATATTTTCTTATTATTTGTTTGTTTAGTTTTGCCCCATCGGTGCTAAATTTAAATTTCTGTTTTTCCATAATTTTTTTTTTTATTAGTATTTATAACATTTTATTTGTTCGATACCTAATTAAATGGAAATGATAATTATTTCACTGATTTTATTATATGAAGTTTTAAGCTAACAAGTGAACAACAAGTCATTGTAGATATGATTTATTATATCAAATATCATAATTTATAGCTATTGGTTATTATGTCAAAAAGTAACTCGTTTATTATTCATACACAGCTGTAGTATTTGTGTAATCATTTATATGGCTGCATCTTGTGATTTGTTGATAAAATATAATAATACAATATTTATCAATCATTTGTGTTGTGCTAAATGGAAAATTTAAATCTTCTTTATAATTGTTATTTTATTTTGTTAACAGTTCAATAATGTTAACTATGTACATATATTCAATAACAGATTTAAGTGATTAAACAATTGCATAGAATTGGCTTAATATTTTATTTTCTAAGTAGTATATTTTTGTTAATTTAATTTGAGTAATTTATATTAATGATAAACAACAGAGTATTTATGCTTATATTTATTTAGGTTAGATAGTAGCGGTAGGTAATGTTATGTACCTATTTTTAATACATCTTGTTATGACAATACTAACGAAAGTGATGAACACTATTACATGTAAATATTTTGAAAACTTCTAAATGAATGTATTATAGGGCATAGGATTGAGAAAAGTCAATTAAAACATCAAAGTCTTGTTTTAGGCTGCTCAGGGTAAGAAACCTAAATGTAATAAACACTCAGTGTAAATGTTATAATGCTAACTTATTTTTAAACAAATTTTAACTAAATACATTTTTTTTATTTATGTAGGTAATACATTTTCAGTTTAAAATAAATTTTAATAATAGATACATATAATTACTAAAAGTTATAATATTTTTAGTACCTACCTAGTAATTAGTAGGTAAACAATATAAAATTAAACATCCAATAAAATCTAGTCTAAGCATAGGTAATAAATTGTTTACAAATTAAAAAAAACAAACAAAATTATGTATTTATGTGCATGATGAATCTTTGGTAAGAATTATATTATAATATGTCAATATATACATTTGATTTATACATTAATAAATTATTATTTAATTATTTGAACTGTATAGGTATACTACTAGACTAGTGTAAGAAACATTTTAAAAAGTGTATATTAATTTTAAAATTTTGAATAGGATAATGATTAATCTATTAATCATACATATTACCGATGTTATTCTATAAAATTCATAGTAATACTGTTAACAATATTATACTTAAAACAAACTAATTTTAACTTATTAATTATTTATTGATTGTACTTTTATAATGACTGCCAAAAATATGGTTAAATGTTAAAATATTTGTTGCTGTGATTGAAGTTATGATTATTATTTGTGATCAAACTTGTTAACTCTGTATAGCAATGCTTAATTACTGGAAATTGTCTTCTGGGAGGCTTTTTATTGTTATCTGGTATTGTACAGTCCGCTGTTATTAACTTTTTGCTTTTATATCGCCGATTTTGAAACCAAATTTTTACTTGGGTTGGAGTTAATCTTAGTCTTAATGCCATTGCTTCTCGCTCTGTGGCCGATAAATATCGCTGTTGATTGAACCGATGTTCCAGTTCTGATATTACATCCTAAAGAAATAATCAAATAAGAATATTGTTAGTTAATTATAGAATATAAGTGCAATTTAAATATTTAAGTTATTCATAAAAGGTATAAGAATGTTTGCCATTTTTAAATCCTTATAAGAAATGTTATAGACTTATTTATAAAGATCTAAATTATGATCGACAGTTGTAAGGTACCTATTATACATTTTTTCTTTAGAATCTAAAAAAATGTAAAAATAAAATAACTTATAGAAATATTTAGATAGATATTTAAGAAAAATTCCACAAAAAAATTTAATCCATTAAAAATATATGGTGTTTATTTGAAACCAACAATATTCATCTAGATTCTAGATTAATAGGTTTATGTTAAAATCTAAAATTAATGATATTTACATGTGCCAATATAATAATACAATAAAATACTTTTAGGTATTTTTATATTATATAAAATGATAGCAAATTATACATTTTGTGTATCCAGTTGATATCTGTTAACATTTTAAAAATAGTTTGTTATAAATTTGACTATTTAGTTAATATAGGTATTGATCTGTTGTATACAAAGTAATATATTATGTATAGGCCACCTTTTTCAGCTCAGTTTCTATGAAAACTTGGGTGTGCTGGAGCTCCTTACTTTTTCAGTTAGTTTACAAATGGAATACATTATAAGGGTGCTAATTACCCTCAAGCTCTTTTCAAAATTGTGCCTTTGCAGCTTGTACTGGTGCAAGTGTATTAATAATATAAAAATATGTATGCGAAATTTTATCTACCTGAGAAAATAGTACTCTAGGTTTTCGTTTTGCTCTTTGTCTTTGGCTCGTTGATGATTTACCCATAGATTTTTTTTGGTCACATCTGTTTATTATTGCAGGTTTATTATTTATTGTTGATTCTATAACAAAAATAAAAATAATATTAGATTAAATACATTTTAATTAGTTATGTAAATATAATAGGTACATTTCAGAAAACGAATCAATATGTCAAAGAAAAGTATTCTCATTAAGGCTAAAATAAACAACATTTTAAAATGTGTAATATCTTCTATCACCAGTTTGATTAATGATTTGCTACTTTTGGCTTGTCAACTCCTCAAAGAATAATCCTAAATACCTATGCTACTTCTCTAAAAGAATTGTTTGACGTTTTTTGGTGCTTATTTATAAGTTGAAAATTAAACATGCACGGTACATTAAATACCTAGGTGTCTTTTTAACTTTTCTAGTTTAATTAAAAATTGTATACACTACAACATTAAAACATTTAGTTAACTAGGTTTCAGCTACGGCCACAACAAAATTAAAGCATATCACGAGATCGCAATTTTGATATGAATACAGTATTTCATAGTACTTACCTACCTTGAAATGTTTGTTTATATTTATCAAATATCCAACCAACTTTAGTTATTATTAAAATAGAACCATTATTTTGTTTTTTAAATATTAGTATTTATATTTTATAACCAATGATAGTAACCTTAATATATAATGAACATAATAAGTATAACAAGTTTCTCTAAAAGGGGGAGATTCTCATTTGAATAAAAAAAATTCGTTTCGCTACAGGACATCGTCACCTACAATCTAATGCTTATCTATAAAAATTATTTAAAAATTTAAAAATATTTATTGTAAAAAAGAAAAGGAGTTAAAGAGTGAGCCTGCTTGAGTGCTTGATGAATCAGTGAATCACCCAGTATAAATTAGATCATGTTTTTATTCACTTCTAATCAAAATTAAATATCATATAATCTACCTAGGTATATGGTAATTTGGTTAATTTTTTATGTTCGATCAATGTTTCATAAAAAACTGATTATTTTGTTCTGATAAAATTCATTTTTTCTCGGGTTTGATGAACTTAAAATAAATATTTTACAATTTTTATTTTTAATTACCCATATTATTATCAAAAATCTTAAATATAGAATTAATTTTTATTATTAACGTTTAAAATTAGAATCACGTAGAATTGTTTATAAAAATGTTGTTTTCAGGGCCTCAAATATTTATTTTTAAATAGGTGCTTCTTAAAAGTCTTAAAAAATGTGTACCTATATTAACCACAAATCAGTACCTATTTTTTTTCTTGGTTTGAACAATATTATAAAACTTGATTTATAGTATGTATGTAGAAGACTGCAGATACGAAAATGTAAAAATAAATACATCTTGTTTATTAGAAAACAAAATGAATAGCAACATACAGTTAGCATGACATAGGTATAGCCGTATAGGTATTATAATTAATATATAATTATATACGTATTATGCACGGTAACTACTGTACAATAGATGATTTATCAGGCTCCAGCAGGATAATATTAATATTAATTCTTAACTAAGAAGAAATTCTATATTATATGCGTTTGAGTTAAGTACAAAAGTATGTAGTTACCTACATATTATATTTCGTTTTATAAGCTTTAGTATGGTTGTACTGCAGCTTTTAATTTCATAGGTATATATGTTATTATGAATTATATATATGTGTGTGTTATGAATAACATGATTTTTCATATTTTTGTATATGTTATGCTTATCTATTATTTCTAGCTATTTATTTATTCTAATGTATATTGTATAAGAATAAAGTCATAATAAACGCAGCAACTAGGACCAAATTGTTGGGGTGCTGCTGTAGCCTTCATAAGTCATATTATTTCCTTATTAATCGGTGTGGATACTTAACCACAGGGTTTAAAGTGGAAACAAATTCCAGAGATGTCTCCATATAGTTTTAAGCATTCCATATATAATTTTATGAATAATGTCTTGTGTTTAAAATCCTAATTTGTTAAAGGGGACTCTTTTAAACCGCCGTCAAAGGTGGGGGGACTGAGTTCTCCTGCGTCGCCCCACTTTACCCCTGCTTAACCACAACACTATAATAAAATATAAATTATACATATTATACACTATATGGCTCTACTAAGTTGGTATTTTTGCAAATAGCTTGTAATAAATATACATTTATACATATAAATATATAATAGTTATCCAGTATGATTCATCAAGCGTGGACAATTT